ACAGTGTTGCTACAGTGCCTGCTACAGTGTCTGCTGACGTCGTGCTACAGTGTCGTCTTCTCCGGCGGACTGCTACAGTGTCTGGTGCTACAGTGTCGTCTTCTCCGACGAACTGGTTTTCCCGGTCACTATTCCGGCAAACCTTTGACCGGCGATTTTGGACGTCTTCCGGTGGTAAAAAAATTCAGAAAAAAATATTTTCGGAATCTTCGGAACGAGACCTTTCCAACAGTCTACACCAAATTCGTTTTTGAGAAAAAAAAATTTCGACCAAAAACAGAAAATCACCCTCTGTAGCTAAACCAAGGCTCTGATACCACTTGTTAGGATCGAGACACTTAACACACGAATCTAAACACACACACAGCTCACGAAAAACAAGAACACAAGGATGAACATGAGGGATTTAACGTGGTTCGGTCCTTCTCTGACCTACGTCCACCGGTAACTAGGAATTTATATTTCTTGGTGCTAATCTGCACTCTTTCTGTGTTACTCTAGATACAAGTTTTACAAATACAGATGAATCTCTTATATAGAGATGGGAATCAGAAGTAGTCAAAAAATACAACCGGGTCTTCAGCCAACCTTTGAAAAAACTTCACATTCAACAATTGTGGCTTCACATTCAACAATTGTGGCTTCACAACTTCACATTGTTCCTGCCATTTTTGACCAGCTGTGGCTTCACATTCAACAATTGCATGTGCTTAATGATTGATGTTTTGAACAGGTTTAATGTAAGAGCTTGATATTTTGAATAAGGCTAACTGTAACTAAGGAAATCGACAACATGATCAAGGGTGACCCTCGTTGAATTTAGTCATGATTAGTGGTATATTTATCAATGAATATAACGACTGGAAATGTAGAAATTTAGATGTCTTTTGTATTTTGTTAAAATATATTCATATATGGTTAAAAATGTATGGCTAAAGTTGTATTCGTGTATGATTATGATTAGAGGTTAATTCTTTTATAATGAAATGATTTTGTTTAGAGTTGTATTCATTTATGATTATAATTACTGGTTTATTTTTTTCGAATGAAATGATGAATTCTTAAACATTCTTTGTTTTCATTCATTAAAAAAAACGAGTCTAGTCATGGCATATTCACTTATGAATATGACACTACTTGATAAATATTCGGATAAAATGATTAATGCATTTTTGATGTGGTTGGTAAAAAAATAACTTAAAGCAAAAAAAAAAATTAACGTTTTTTGTTTTAAAATTATGGTAAAACGTTTTTTAAAAGCATTTTATTGATTTTGTTAATTAAAAATAGATTATATAAATTCCTAATATTTGGGTAAAAAAATCTATTAATCATATTAAATCCCATGATTTTAGGAATTAATTAATTACCCATAAATTATCCATAATTAATTATATTGTAAAATTCCTTTTATGCCCTTATATGATGATTGGTTCACAACTGTTCTCGCGCTCTCAACCTTTTAGGTGTTCTCATTTGATCATTTCCCTATATATATATATATATATATATATATATATATATATATATATATATATATATATATATATATATATATATATATATATTCAGGTGTTTAATGTATTTATTGTGCTATTGTATGTATAAATGTGGGCCAATCAATTTTAAAAAAAATATTAAATAATTAATAAATTGTTTAAGGGGTATAATAGTAAACTTGAACCATTTTATTTTTAGTAAATATTGAAAACATTTAATATCCCTTTGAATTAGGAATTTAATTTAAAATGCTAGAATATATCTCCGCCTCACGCCGAGCCAGAAGATTTCACCGTGGGTTTTCCTTAAGGGCGTCGACGTTTCCCCCAAAGCTACTTGCCAGCTCGTGCTCGTGCTTGGACTTCAAGCAACGCCTTTCGTTCTGCGATAAGCGATTTCTGTTGTTGGTTATATGAATACGGTTCGTGGGTTTTCCTATTACTCACAATTGATGATCCCTTTTCCTCCTACGTTTAGGTGGTATCGGCTTCAGGGAAATTCGCCAAGATTCGTTTATACCTCTGAATATTAGTCTCCCTTTCACTATGGAGTTTCAATTTTAACTTATTGTGTTTATAATCTTCTGATTATTGACCTGATTTTGGTTCTTCATCTTGAGTGCTTTTTAAATATGCAAATGATAGTGTTTCTATTTTATAGTGGTTTTGAATTTTTGTACTTTCAGTTTCGGCACTCCAATTGTTTGATATAATGTCTAGGTGAAGTTTTTTACTTCTTTATGAAAATTTAACAGTTTTAGCTATGCTAGGTTATGATTTGAGTTTGATAGACAGTGTGATAAACACACTTAGTAATCTGTGCATTTCATGTCTGAATCTCAACAATATGAGAATTGATAACTGGATTGTCCATCAAGATTTTTATGGAGAAGAGTTCATGAGTGGTGATGTCAAGATTTTTTGCCCACAACTGGTATTTCTTTAACTCCGGGGTAATAAAGTTGTAAATTTTTTAAAGTAAATAAACAACTTTCTCTTATAAAATTTTTCTTCATTTAACATCTGTTGATGACAGTTGCTCTTGAGGACTTGATTGATCTTAACTCATAAGGCTAATATTGTCCCCTATTCCTATTAATCCTGTACCAATTAGGAATTCATAATCCATTGTTAGCAGTCTTTTTCTGAAGGTCCTTTTTTGACAATCCCATGGAATGATGGAAGAATCTTGAATTACTTGATGATGTTCATGCTGTTGAGAAAACAAAGTGTTGACCAGAACAAGACATATCCTTATCTAGGCGTGGATTTGGTTTTTTTGTCTTTTTTTTTGCCATTTTTAAACAATTTTCATCATGGTTTTGTTTAAATTTTATTTCTCTTTAATGGGTTTTGCGTGACTTTATTTTGATTTGCTTCTTTATGCTTGAATTTTATCTTATATTGTTGGTTTATAATGATCAAGTGTTGAATACCATTATTTTTGTAGGTACGAAACGAGAGATATCAAAGCAAAACATGGTACATATGAAACTTACAACATTCTATTGGAATGGAATCTTGAATTCTGATTCTGTCAGAATAGAATCTTTGAATTCTGATTCTGTCATAATAGAATCTTGAAGATGAACATTGTATGGGATGAAGATGAACAATGACCACCAATCTTCCAAAAAGAATGGATTATTCTACTAGAATAATATACAATATAATGAAAAAAAATATATGTAATAGTATATTCTGGTAGAATGATTTATATATTGTGTTTTTTTGTTATTAATAAGTGTAACATTCTCATAGAATAGTATATAATTTTTTTTTCTATTCTAAGAATGTAATGGAATTTTTTTAACTTGTATCCAAAATTTTGTTATTTTTCAAGAAGTTTATTAAATCAAAATATATATTATATCAGAATGTGTATTCTTGTATGGTTCAATCATATTTGTTATTTTTCAATATATTGATAAACATATTCCGTCAGAATTTTCGAATTAGGAGAATTATCATCCATACAATCAGATTTTTAAAATTAATAGAATCTATTTTCCTTAAAATATGCAATTTTCCTTTATTAAATTTATGTTAATTGACTAAAATACCCTTAGAATGAAATTAGATGATATTTTTTAATTATATTTAATTTAATAATATGTATTATTCACTTTCCAAAAATAAGTAAAATGATTGGCCCACAATTATACATACAATCATACAATACTTAGTTTGAATAGAATAACTTAAGCCTATATATATATATATATATATATATATATATATATATAATATATATATATATAGATATATATATATATATATATATATATATATATATATAGTTGGCTGAATTGATTTTTGCAACGTACAGTTAATTGATCATATTTTCATACTTAATATCGTGGTATAATAATATCCATGTGCATGTAATTGCAAGCTGCTTTTAGGTGCAACTGGCACTACACCATGCATACCACTTAACTTTAGATATTAAAGAGTTATATTATTGATTATACACGTTTTTTTTATGTTTCAAAAGAATTAGAATGAAACTGCATCTGATTTGACTATGTGTTTGGTTAGTAAGAGGTGGAGTGAAAACTGAAATGAAGTTTTTCAATCAGAATGTAGATTGTAATATTAAATGACAAAATATATATAGGGATTAGCATCAAGTTAATGCACCCCAGTAATCTCCAAGCAACCAATTGTTGTCAAGATTAAAGTTAATGTGCCTAAAAAGATAATGATAAAAAGGTACAACTAGTACCTATGTTCTATGACACACAAAAGGTGGTTCACTGATTTTCTAGTATTAGATAAGAAAGACAAATAAGTTGGATACAAAATTATGACCATTAGGTTTAAATACTACATTAGATATATACTATATGAGTAAAATCAAAAGGCTATGACCATCACGTTAATGAAAGACTAAATTAGACCTGATTTGGTTGAAATACAATTAACTAGTTTATAAAGGATTAATTTAGAATGTCAAATTATATATCCTCTTAGTGTACGATAGCTTCGAAATACACATGTTGACTATTTTGGTTTAGGAAATATTACATCTGTAGAAAGCCTATACGACTCTTTTGAACCTTGAAAATGATGCAGAACTTTTAATAGAACTAGTACCATGTTCTGAATATATAGATATTAAAAAAAAATAAAACAAAAAAGGAAGATAACGACTAATGATTTACTTGAAATCACTCGACCTAATTGATCCGTTTAGTTATCTAATTGGTTTCTTTCCTGTACATATATAATTCACTATCGTAAACCCTAGCTAAAACTCCATTACGAAGAACCAGCTATGCTCCTGTCGATGGTTGAAATAAACCCAAACATACATATTATATACTTGATGATGATGAAGATTATGAGATGAAGTTGATATTAATGATTTAGGTCTTCATCTCAGCTTATCCTAGATACTCTCTGAACAAATTAACACTATTTAACAGGTATCAAATAACAACAAATCAATCGTTTTGGAAGTAATAAACTTAGGGAAGAGCTAGATAGAGGTCTTACGAAGCATCGGAAGCATACTCGCAGAGCTTTCCTTTAGTGGAGAAGACGATGAGAGCGACATCCGCTTCACAAAGCACTGAGATCTCATGAGCTTTCTTCAACAATCCAGACCTTCTTTTGGAGAAGGTGACCTGCCGATTGATTTTGTTTTCGATCCGCTTCAACGTCACTCTTCCCCTCCCCATTGATGATTTGATCGATCTTCCGATATTCAGAATCTTCTTCAAGTCACCCACACCACAACCATAACCACACGAAATGCAATATATGTAATAATAAGTTGTAGCAAACCAACAAACACCACCATCAGGTGTGTTGTTGCGCTGCTGTGGTGGAAGAATATTTGGATTTACCAAGTTTGGAAAATTCTTATCCCCTACTTTTATAACCCGCCCCCAACATCTTCTTCTATTTATTTTTACCAAAACTATCAATTTTTAGATGGTACGTAAATAGTAACTGGCTGTTTAAGAAAAAGTAAATTCACAACCAATACAATTACAGAATTTCCCTTCTAAGATTTTGTTTTTATCTATTTATTTATTTATAGTCTAAGATAGGAGAGGCGTTGCAAGCATGCCAGACAATAGAATTACATTTAGACCTGTATGTAAATTTATTTATTTACTTGACTTAACTATAGAGTCACAGTTTGATTTTATAAGCTGTATGTAAATGTTTTTTTAATTTAAAAAACAAACAATGTAATTAAGAAATTCAGGAAAAATAAGAATTTATCTTTATAGATTATATAGAACTCAAATATTTTTCCATTCATTTTTTTTTCAAATATAATTTAACTATCATTTATTCAAATAACACTTAAATAATAAAGATGTTTAAAATATTAAATATATAACCACTATAAATTTATAAATTTCATTGGAACTACTTTGTATTAACTGCTATTTACCTTATTTTAAATAAAGTTATACCGTATTTATTTTTTTCAAATTATGTACAAAGTAATTGTTTATACAAAATACGATACCACATTTTATTTTAGGACCAATAACTCTTTTGCAGCTTTAAATATGATTTGCATAATTTTTGTTAGTTAAATAAAATAAATGTGTAAAATATCGTTATATAAAGTGATAAAAAAGAAAAACAATAAAACCCAGTTACATAAATATAGAAAGAAATAAACATAAACACTATTATATAAATAAGTATTGTCTATTTCCAGTATATATTTTATTTTTTATAGTAAAAGATAATTGTATATTTCTAAAGAAAAATTGTATATATCTAAATGTCTTAAAATTGATTGTTTACGATTAAGTAGAATCATAAAATATTTATATTAGTATTTTTTAAATATCTAACAGTGAAACAAGAATCTTCAAAAAAAAAAATGCATTTATGGTAAGGTGGTATTCGAAAACCAGAGAAGTATTATGAAAAACGCTGTCTAATTATGATTGGCGGAAGGACAGTTAGACGCTGAGTCTGTCTGGTGAGTACAAAGCCACATCGTACACACGCGTGTGACATCGCCTTCGTTGTGTTTTATCAATCCAAATGCGGGCATCTTATTGTAAATTTATAGTAATAGACGTTAAAAAAAAACATTATCCACAAAAATAAACAATTTCTTTGTAAGAGGTAGTTTTGACAATTTCGTAGTCACCGTTGTTGGTAATTTCTGGATTAAAGACAATTTATTAGAAATAATTATTCCATTAAAATGGATATTATATATTTCTAAATTGATATTCAATATTATAAATAAGTATGGTTGTAAACGAACCGAATGTTCAACAAACTATTCGTGAATCATTCGATAGGGAGTCCGTTTATATTCGTTTATTTAATAAATAAATGAATATAAACAGAAGTCCTCGTTCATTTAGTTAAATAAACGAACCTGAACAATGGTATTGTTCGTGATCGTTTGTTATGTTGTTTCATTATGTTGTTTCATTTGAACTCATTTTATGTTCATATATAGTCAAATATGTTTGATTAGATTACTATATTATATATTTGCTTATGTTCATATATGTTTGTTTATCTTCGTTCGTTTATGTTTGTTTGTAACACCTGTGAATTCAGACTAGACGTTTAAGTGATATAATTACGATTATTCATTTTATTGAATAGTTAAAATCCTCGAATAGGATAATTACAAGTAAATAAATGAGAATCTTTCGTACGCAATATAGGTTATAAAAATGTCAAATATGTTTATTTATTGTGTACATGTTTTATGTACAAATATTATTGGCTTATAATATTTATATAAAACATTGTTAAAAACTTAACGAATTATGTTAAATAATATTTATAATAAAAGATTATTTTGAATAAATAATCTGAACGGAAGTTATAGTAGTCGTGATTACGAACTCATGAGTATAAAGAACGCCAAAATTTGACTTCATATGAAGAAGTTATGATTTTTCGAAGTTTTGCGTTTAACACAATACAACAATGTGTGTCATAAAATATGAAACAAGGATAGGTTAGTTGTTAGCCAAAACAATGTAAAAGAGAGTTGATGTCCTCGTAAATACGAATTTGTCGATATAAAGAACGTTGGGAATGAAGGTCGTATGAAGAAACGAATTTCGCAAAGTCTTTTACAGTGTAATCTGTATAGACTATAAAATGAAAATGGAATGCAAATTAGCTATTGAGATCTAAAGGAAGTTGTAGTACTCGGAAATACAAATCCGTGGATATAAAGAATGTCAAAAACAGAGCTCCCATATGAGAGATATGATTTTTCGAAGATTGCGAAAAATACCTACGAAGACGACGACGTTACACCAACCAGAGGGCGCCATGTAGTAGAGCCGGAGGCCCCCTATTCCACCGAATTGATGACGTTGCCCATCGAAAGAGCAACACGTGGCACCACCAGATGGGAGAGACGTCGCCGCAACGTGACACGTCTTCTACCACGGCGCGGTGTGCCTATCGAAAGTTGGTATAAATAGCAGCCGAATCCTCCTTCATTTCTTGCACATTTTCTCTCAAACCATTCCCGAATTGTAACAACGTAAATTTCCAAACAAAATTTTAATTTTTAACACGATTAAAAATTCATTTCATAATTCACCAAATCACATATGTCTCAAATGTCAACAAGTAAAACACAATCCCAAAATCATAAAAACAATCTCCCGCCAATGTGTACAATCATGCCGGTGCCTTGTCGCGATCCTCGGAACTACCTGAAACACATAACACATAACACGGTAAGCATAAAGCTTAGTGAGTTCCCCAAAATACCACACACACGCAACAGCCACTCGAGGCTATGCTCAAAAGACCCTCTGGTCAATGTGTCTCAGTGGGACGCTCCGGCCCCACGACTCTGATGGACCCTCTGGTCCCTCAACTAAACATCTCAATATAATACATATCAATCATATCACAAACATATAGCAGGATATCTCAATACACAATATATGCACATAAGACCCTCTGGTCACACATAGGTTACCACTCAAGGTAAGTATAGTGAGAAGACTCACCTGGTAAGATAGCTAGTAAAAATCTCGTGCCCGAACTCCTCGGTCTAGCCTCCGCCTATCACAAATTAATATTCTATTCTTATCTCTGAAAAGTGGGTAGAAGACCATTCTACCCCTCCTGACCCTTTTTACTCATTTGAGCAAACCTAAAGTCAACAGAAGTCAACTCCAGTCAACGGTCCAACTTTGACCAGACTCGTCGAGTGCACTAGGGAGACTCGTCGAGTTCCCTGGTTCCCTCAGGGACCCTATGAAGACCAATTCTACATGTCGAGTAGGACCGCCTACTCGTCGAGTCACAGCGTGCTCAGACTTATCGGGACAAACCCCAAGCGACTCGTCGAGTCAGCTCATGGACTCGGCGAGTGCATCCAATCTATATTCCCATTCAAACGTTTTAGGGCAGATCTATCACTCCAAACTCTAGATCTAGGCTCCCTAGGCTCGAATGTCACGTAAAGCTTCGATCTTTACGTTCATGCATGGCATATTTGCTCCAATATGCCATCACAAGCTCCAAAGAAGGTTGAAAGCACATGAGGTTGCCTCTAGCTCAATAAAGCTTGACTCTTTGGGCTCTTAAGGCCTCCTATAGTCCAGATCTGAGGTCCTAACCTCAAACCATGCTCAAATAACTCAAGGACACAAGATGATTGGAAGAAAACCCTAAAAGCTACCAAAATGGGATCTAACAAACAAGAGGTCAAGATGAGAGCTTTATACCTCTGGATAGCAGCAAATGACAGAAGAATGCAAGATCCACAGCCTCCTCTTGATTAGATTCACCAACTCTTCCAATCTTTCCTCCAAAAAACTAAAGAATGCACCAAATGGCCTCTCTCTCTTTCTATGCACGAAAAGGGCAGGTTAGGGTTTCTCTCTGGGGAAGGTGGCCGCAAAGGGAGGCTATAAGTGCCCTTAAATAGGTCTCAAACCCGGGGATCTAGGGTTTTCACTCCCAGCGCCTACTCGGCGAGTCTGCTCCCGGACTCGTCGAGTAGATCATTAAACCCACGTGGCCATCTCGTCTCTACTCGGCGAGTTATAGCACCAACTCGTCGAGTAGGTCAATGATCCTTAAAATAAACACTTAAAATATTATACCTGGGAATCCGGATGTTACACGAACCCCCGTGATATGACTTTTTGAGTCTCGAGCATTTTAGTGAGGCGCTACGGCGTTGAAAAACTCAATGAAAAGAAGTATTCCGCGTCAAAGTTCTGCCCGCGAAGTTTCCGAGTTTTCGCTAGAAAACCTGTAAGTTAAGTTGAACTTATTATGCTTTTAAGTGTAACTTATATTTATGTTCGTAGTCGTTATTATGAACCTATAAATAATATTTATTAGTAATTCCAATTATAATACTGATTGATCTACTTATGGGAGTGATGTTTAACCAAAATCTTAGTGAGGTGTTTCAAGTGGATTTCCATGTAGTATATTTATATACCAAATAGATCCTACCTCCAATATGATCTTACGTGGTTATTCCATTTTTGATAGAGCTTGATATTCTTTGGGATTATTGAAGAATCCATAAATAGTTAATATAACCTTATAAAATCGAACGAATACTGAAGCGTAGTAATATTCGTGTTTAGGTCATTTAAAAGGGAAAAACGAAAGTGTTAGGCGATGAGCTAATCTAATCGCGAGTATTCCACCTCGACCATGTGAGTGCATAGTTACTTTCATGAAC